ACACGCGCTCCGCCGCATTCGGCCGTACTCCGCTGTATTCACTGTACTCGCAGCGCCGGTCCTCCCCACACCTCCCCACACCTCCCCATATCTCGCCCTGATGGCGTGGCGTCTCCACCGCGTAGGCTCGCGGCCTCCCCCCAAGTGTCGCGGCGCCGCGGGCTCCCCCACGCTGCCGAGAGCTGCCCCCCCACCGAGGTCCACCGGCGCGAGCCCCTTGCCCCGTCGACCTCCCCCCCCGACGCGGGGCTCGCAGCAGCGCCACTGGCCGCCGACGTCGCCAGAGGAGGAGGAGTCGTTTGCCTCCTCCCGCGAGCGCGATTCGCCGGAGGCGTCTGAGCCGCCGCCGCCGCCGCCGCCCGACAAGGCGGCCAGGGAGGAGGCCCGCGCCGGAGACGAGGTGCCGCCGTTGCCTCCCTCGGACTCCGCGCCTCCTCCGCCGTCGCCGCTGGCGGATCCAGAGGAGCGGTTTTCGCGTCGCAGCCACCGCACGCCCCGCGCGCCGCCGCACGAGGTCGGGGGCGGCAAGGAGAACACGGGCGTGGCGCGCGAGGCGGCGTCCACCAAGGCCGACAAGCCGGCGCTCCTCTCGCCGGTCGTGGACTCGCCCGCGTGCGCCGCCCAGCAGGCGCAGTGCGCGGACAGCTCGCCGCTCGTGCAAGAGGTGGCGGGCACAGCGCCCGCGCCGCAGGTGGCGTCGCCACAGTCGCTGCGCCAGCTCCTCGAGGCGCACCGCCACTACATAGCGGAGGCGGTGTCGGCGCTGGACATGCACACGACGCTGATGTCGGAGGCGGAGGTCGACCCCGAGCCGTCCAACTACATCGGTGCCACACTCGCCCTCGTCAAGTCGGAGACGGCAAACTTGGGCAAGCTGGAGGCCAAGCTGCTGGCCTTCGCACCGCGCTAGGACCGGAGGAGAGAGAGACGGAGCGTCCGTGAGGACAGCTCCTGCTCTGTGCGCCCGTCGGGGAGCGGGGGCGCACTCCCCGTCAAAAGGCGTGGAGCCTAGGGGAGAGGGGGGTATACTAGTGTGCACAAGACCCGCACCCGCTCCCACTCCGGCGTGGGGAGTGCCAGGCGGGGCGGCGAGCGGAGATGGAGAGGGCGGTGCTTCGCTGTTGCGCGAGAGCGGTGAGAGCCAGTCTCCGAGGTCGTCTTGCTCCATAGGATTCGAACAATACGAAGAATCCCAAAACACACGAAACAAGGGACGCACGGACTAATTGATATACGAAACTAATCGGCGGTTATTATTAGCAACGGAGCGCGTAAATGGGCTACCCGTAGTGGGGTAGGCGCATAGTGGGATGGGGGGGGGCGCGGAAGGGGATGGGCCCGGGACTAGCCGTGTGCGCTGGCGTCTTCGTACCAATTGACGCAACTATATAGGCCCAATCTTCGGGCTGGCTCGTACACAGACAGGGTGTTGGAAAGGTATCTTGCAATCTCCGTTGCGGTCCAGAATTTTGTTCCGACGCTCCCCAAAAAGCAGCAGCAGGAATAACGAATATGAATGGATATGTGCATCCAGGAGGTAATGCCCAGCCCTCTCCGGACGACTCCGCGCCGCGATGCTCCCTTTTTTCTTTTTGTCGTGCTGCAAAAAAGAAAAAAAAGAGGACGGCAACCACACATGTCCTGTCTTACACGGGCGGGACCTGTTTCTTTTTACCCATCTCACAGTAGAGGTGTAACGTTTTAACTTTTATTTATTTATGTCCTGTAGCCCGCCAGCCCGGTCGAACACCCCCGGGTCGCGATTTTGGCAAGTGAATACGGACGCTTTTTGACGATGAAATAAGAATCTACTGCCCGAGGGAAACACATAGACACCCACATGGTCGACCAACCCTTAGTGTTTGAGGGTCAGTGTTCACATTCACACCCCACTGGCACCGTGGCACTGACCACTGTACAGTGTGCAGACCGACATACAGCACGCACAATGTAGCACTTACTATTAAGCGCGCGTATCCCCCGCGCTCGCCCTCCACGGCCGCTGAGCGGCGCAACGCACATGCCTGCGCGCGCTAGCGGCTCGGCGAGGTCGGCCGGCGCGCGAGCACAACCCCAAGACGATGCCGTGAAGCGGGTGGCTGCGCGTCCGAACCGCCGATGCGCCGTCGGGGTGAAGGCGGCGGCGACGGCGGCAGCGGGCCGGGCAGCGGCGGTGGCGGTGGTAACGGCGGCGGCGTCGAGGGCGGCGGCAGCGAGGGCGGCGGCGGCGACGGCGGAGGCGGGCTCGGTGGGGGCGGCGACGGTGGAGGCGGCGAGGGAGGCGGCGGGCTCGGAGGCGGCGGCGAGGCCTGCGGCGGCGAGGGCTGCGGCGGCGAGGGCTGCGGCGGCGAGGGCGGCGGACGGCGCGGCGAGGGGGGAGGCGGCGACGGCGGCGGCGGGCTGGGCGGCGGCGGGCTGCTGCGGCGGCGGCGACGGCAGCGCGGCGGGCTCGGTGGGGGCGGCGACGGTAGAGGCGGCGAGGGAGGCGGCA